CAGAGGGCAGGGAGAGATGGGAGATTGGGAAGGGATTCCTGGCTGGGAGGGTGTTGAGGGTCTGGTCTGGAATTCCCAGAGAAGCTGTGGCTGCCCCTGGATCCCCGGAATTGTCCAAAGCCAGGTCAGACAGGTCTTGGAGCAACCTGGGATCGTGGGAGGTGTTGCAGTTGGAACTGGATGATCTTTAAGGTCCCTTCCCACCCAAACCATTCCAGGATTCCATGATTCAAACACTTCCTGAACCGAAGTGTTCCCTCTCGGAAGGGCAGTTTTCCTTTCCTTTGTCTCTGCTGACTTTTTCCACGGAGATCTTGCCAGTTTGATTCAACCCCCATAAATCCACGCGTGTCCTGATGTAAATCCAATATTTAGGAGATAACCTTTCCCCCCGTATTTCCCGCCCTCTCCAGGTCTCTGAATTCCCTTTGATATCTCCCCTGGACTCGGGCAGGGAAGGAACTGCTGGTTGGGCACTGGAAAAACGTGGGAACTCGCTGTAAAACGGGTTTCCTTACAAATTTAGGATTCCATCCCATTGTGTACCGAATCTTTGTGCTGAGCAATAACCATCAATTCCCCTTTGACGGGCCCTGCTCGGGAACTCCTTCCGGAAAACAGCAGCTTTTGGAAACCTGGAGAAGCTTTTCCTTGGTGGCCGTTCCCGACATTCCGGGTTTGGCCTCTGAACTCCTCGAATATCTTCCCTGGGGTGTTTGGTTTTAAAGGAAATGGAATTTCCCCCTTTTTCAAATGGGAGGAATGAATGTTTAAAGTTTGGAATTGGAGAAAAAGCAGCAGGAAAGTCCATTTTCTCTTCCATTTTTCGGGCAGTGCCGGAGTTGTGTTGTCAGAATCCCCTTCCCTGGAAGGTTTGCTGTCACACACATCCATCTTTTTTCTTGGAAATGTTGTTTTATCTGCTTGGACTTGGCCTTTATTTTGCTTTTCTAGTTCTTTTTAAGCCGCGTTTCTCTTTCCAGCAGAGGACTGCTGGATTTAATTTATAATTTTACCATTAAAAATCCCGTTGGTGCCCTTGGGAGTCGTTGCATTTTAGGGTCTGTTGGTGCCCATTAAATCCAACGTTTTATATCCTGGCCATAAATTCACTTGGGGAGGGGGGGGAGGTGTGATATTATTATTTTTGTCAGGATTTCCCCCCTGATTAGAGGTGTTAATATGAACATAATATTATTATTACCCCTTTTCTACAAGGGGTAAGTTCTCTGCTGCCTTTTTTTCCCCCCCTCTAAGCCAAAGTTTCTCCGGAATTCTTGCAAATCACGTCTTCCAAAGTGGGTGTTTTGGAGCCTGTTAATGAATCACACTTTGGCAGTGTTTGCCCTGACGTGATAAACAATTGTTCTCTTGGCCTGTCAGATTATTGAGCCACAAACTTGGAGACGTTTTACGTGGTTTTTGTTGTTTTCTTCTTTTTAAGATGCTTTTTTGTTGTTGTTGTTGTTGTTGTTGTTGTTGACAGCCTGTCCCCCAAATACCTCGGTCTTTATGTAGACTTTAACAGTCTGAAGTGAGTTCATATTATTTTTTAGTCAGTCTGAGCCCACTTGGGGTTTTTTACTGGGGTTTTTTTAGGGCTTTTTGGTTGGGTTTTTTTTGGGTGCAGTTCTGCTCCATCGCGTCCTGAGGTAGGTAGTGGAGCTTTATTTCACCTCAGAAGTTTCCGGCCATCCAGAGCTGCAAATGGGATGATGAATCTTCAGAGGCACCTAATAAAGAGCTGAACTTAGTCATCCTTGTGATTCTGGTGTGCAATATCCTGTCAGGGATGGGCAGAACATCCCTCTCTCACTCAAGGTGTCCTCTTTTCAGCAACATTTAATATTCATTCCCAGGTCATCATTTGGGACCATTAACGAGACTGATATTCCTCTCAGACTGGGGCTGTTAATCCTGGCTTGGGACTTATCCAGACCTTACCTCTGCAGCTTCCAAAGGAGAAGTTCCCTTTTCCTGCTGGAAATCTTCCCTCCTCTGCTGCAGTCCTGTTACACAACCACCTTCTCCTGCAGGAAAGGTGCTCGAGGGAAGTTATTCCGGTGTGGAATCCTTCCTGGAGCTTACGTGGATCGATGGTTTCCTTTGGTTCAAAGGCTGCTTTGGGTTCCTTTTTCCCTTTATTTTACTCTCTCCCAGGTCACCCACTCACCATTCGTCATCAGGAGGGGAGGTTTTGTCCTACCTGGAGTAATTAGTCTTTGTTAGAGCTCCGGTGATAAATAGCAGAGGAGGAGGAAAAAGGGAAACGATGAGTTTTGTTTCGGCGTCAGACTCTTCCAGTGAAGTTGGGAACGCGCCGCTCGCTCCCAAAGGGAAGGGATTTGTGGGATTTTTCATGGCAAACCTTGTCCATCTTGTGTCCATCCCCCAGGCTGCCACAGTCCAGTTCTTTGTCACACAAAGCAACCCCCCCAGACTCGTATTAATGTGTTTGTGAATCACTTCACCCAGGCGTTGCCGTGAGGGTAAAGGGAATTCTAACCTGGGAATGACGTAGAAACTCTCCCCTGGGAGAGGCTGGAAACCCTTCTGAAGTTCCCTGTGAAAGCTTCCCGGTTTGAAGAGAGGATTGGTTTGGGTTTTTCCAGGTATTCTGAGCGCAGCCTGACCAAGTGTGTGGGGATAACGATCGAGACGAGGCCGGATTATTGCCTGAAGAGGCACCTCAGCGACATGTTGTCCTACGGCTGCACGAGGCTGGAGATCGGGGTGCAGAGCGTCTACGAGGACGTGGCCCGGGACACCAACAGGTGAGGGGAGGGGGACGTGGAATCCTGGAATGGTTTGGGTGGGAAGGGACCTCAAGCTTGTTCAGTTCCAACCCCGACACCTCCCGCTATCCCAGGTTGCTCCAAGACCCGTCCAGCCCGTCGTTGGACACTCCCAGGGATCCAGGGGCAGCCACAGCTTCTCTGGGAATCCCAGCCCAGCCCCTCAACACCCTCCTAGACAAGAATTCCTTCCCAGTATCCCACCCAAATCTCCCCTTTTCCAGTGGGAGGCCATTCCCTGTGTCCTGTCCCTCCAGCCCTTGTCCCCAGTCCCTCTCCAGCTCTCCTGGAGCCCCTTCAGGCTCTGGAATGTGCTCCAAGCTCTCCCGGGATCCTTCTCTTCTCCAGGCTGGACATTCCCAGCTCTCCCAGCCTGGATCCAGAGCCTGCCATTGGATCCATCCCCAGCCCAACTCCTCCCTGGGAAGGAGTTCTGGGAACAAGGGGGTTCCCTGGGAATCTCGGCACTCAGGGAAAGGTCCCCTTCCCCTTTCCTGCCTTTTCCATCCCTGACTTCCATAAAAATCCCTCTAAATGGATTCTAACCTGAGTGTCCTTTATCCTGGAATTCCAGACTGGTTTGGGTTGGAAGGGACCTTGAAGATCATCCCATTCCATGGGCAGGGACACCTCCCACTATCCCAGGTTGCTCCAACCTGGCCTTGGACACTCCCAGGGATCCAGGGGCAGCCACAGCTTCTCTGGGAATTCTATTCCACCCTCCCAGGGAAGAAAGAATTCCTTCCCAATCTCCCATCCCTCCCTGCCCTCTGGCAGTGGGAAGCCATTCCCTGTGTCCTGTCCCTCCATCCCTTGCCCCAAGTCCCTCTCCAGCTCTCCTGGAGCCCCTTTAGGCTCTGGAAGAGGCTCCAAGTTCTCCCTGGATCCTTCCCTTCTCCAGACTGAAACCTTCCAAGCTTCCAGCCTCCAGTGGCTGCTCACTGGGCCCTTCAAGAACACTCTGTGGGAATTCTCTGTTTCCTTGACTAATCCCCACTTAACAGAGAATCTTGAAACATTTCCCTCATTTTCTTGCTTTTGTGGCCTCGTTTCCATCAAGAAAAATTATTAACCTGCATTTTAGTGGCTTTATTTGGGATATTGTTTATACCAGGGCTTGAGAAAATGGGACTGTGATGCTTTATTTTCAGATATATTTGCAGGAGGCCTCTGATTTATTCCTCAACATCTTGGACCTGTGGCCAAAAGGAATGTTTTCCTATATGGGAAAGCATGGAATATTTTCTTCATCCCACCTCTGACAGGCAAACAAGCCAATCTCTCCTCTATTTATTTATTTATTTATTGCAAGGCTGATAATTCTGCTGAGATTTTAAAATGAGTGATTTTTCACTTGTTTTTTGTGGTTTTTTTTTTTTTTCACTTCATTCAACTCGTTCCCTCTTATCCCATATTCCAGTCACTCCCAAAGTTGTTTGATAACCACAGTCTCAGGTGGTGACAGATTCAGGCAAAGCACATTTTTTGTTGATACCCACCTTAAAGGCAGCAGAGCAAAGCTGGAAATGTTGGGCATTTTCTTCTTTTCCTTTTAGGGACTTCAGGGAAGAATCCCAAATGGATTTCCTCCTTCGGCACTGCCGGGGCGTGGGAATGTGGGATGGCACTGCCGGGAAACCATCAGGCTCCAGATCCCAAAAATGCAGGAAAAGCCATTTATTGAGGAGCCCAAGAGCTCATTTCAGAGGTGGTTTCCTCCTCTGGATGTCAGAGCTTTCCAGAGGAAAGGATCCATCCTAAGGAATGTTCTTAGTCTGGGTGCCTTCAGTCGTAGATTCGTTCAATTCATTTAATCCATTTATCAATTAATTTCCCTTTTTTTTCCATTCAGATCTTTCAAAGGTGGAGCTTTAAAACCTCTCTTTGCTCCCACTTGAGTTTTCCACCAGTTTTTTTGTGTCACAACCAGAGCAGGTCCCACAAATCACCCGAAGCTCTTCCCTCACTTTTGGATTTTGGTCCCTTTTTCCCAGGAAACCCTTTGATTTCCAGCTGCTGGCTCAGAACGGGAATAAAGGGATGTGTTCCTGCCTTGATTTCACTCAGAGCCAATCCTGGATGGAATTCTATTTTATATTATAATTATATTTATATTATATATTGTATATAAAATATACACTGTATATTATATAATATACAATTATATATATATAAATGTGTATATGTATAATGTATATGTATATATATGTGTATATATATGTATATGTGTATGTATATGTGTATATATATAATATATATAATATATATACAATTATATATATATAAATGTGTATATGTATAATGTATATGTATATA